AGAGAGGTACGTTGTGGAATGAGATAGAAAAGCTGAAGGACAAAGGCAACTTCTTGACTGAGGACCAAATCCTACTGCTGCTGCTGGGTATCTGCAGAGGCCTTGAGGCCATTCATGCCAAGGGGTATGCCCACAGAGACCTGAAGCCTACCAATATCTTGCTTGGAGATGAGGGGCAGCCCGTCTTAATGGACTTAGGTTCCATGAATCAAGCGCGCATTCATGTCGAGGGCTCCCGTCAGGCTCTGGCTCTACAGGACTGGGCGGCCCAGCGATGCACCATCTCTTACCGGGCCCCGGAACTCTTCTCTGTGCAAAGCCACTGTGTTATTGATGAGCGAACCGACGTCTGGTCCCTAGGCTGTGTGTTGTATGCCATCATGTTTGGGGAAGGCCCGTATGACATGGTGCTCCAGAAAGGTGACAGTGTGGCCCTTGCTGTGCAGAACCAGCTCAATATCCCAGAAAGCTCCAGGTATTCACCAGCCTTGCGGCAGCTGCTAACCTCCATGATGACTGTGGACCCCCAGCAGCGTCCCCATGTTCCTGTCCTCCTTGGTCAGGTGGAAGCCCTGCAGCCCCTACCCCCTGACCAAAGCATCACACAAATCTGAAGAAGCCAGTGTGAGCCTGCTGAGAAAGTGGACCTTTGTGCCTTGCGAAAGGTTCCTTCCTGTGCCTCATTCAAATTTCCATCTAGGACTGTTCTCTATTGGTGGGACAGGAAGAACAGGTACATGCCTCTCACCCCTGCATCTGCACTTCTGCTCCTACTCACAGGAGCAGTACCAGCTGGACAAGGTGCCTGCCAGCTGGACAAGGTGCCTGGTTGAAGTAGGAGTATGGGGGAAGGGAAAAGGGAATTGCTAGAATGTGGTTCATGGCTTTGAGCTCTTATCATGGTCTGCCTCCAAATTAAGAGCAGGATAATGTGTAAACAGAAGAATAAAGAGAAAGCTGGTTGATGTAAAAAAAAAAAAAAAGTTGCCTTCTTTGGGTTGGCTGCAACTACCTATGGATGACGCCAGTAAAATTCTCATCCACAAAGATAACAGCCTGGTAAACCATACGAGTTAGTTCTACTCTCACCCGCTGAGTTGTTTTCAGTTGGAATTGACTCAGTGGCAAGAGGTTGGTTATGGTATGGTTTGGTTTAGAATGCCTAGAATAAAAAGAAATAAACAAGAAGAAGAAATCTTGGTGAAGTTGTAGAGAGAGTGGAACATCCATTGTTTGGTGATGTTGTTGTTGTTAGGTGCCATCACGTTGAGTACAAATCATAGCAACTCTGTGAACAACCAATCTGAACACTGTCCTATCCTGTGCCATCCTCACAATCTCTGATACGCTTAAGCCCATTACCACTGTGTCCACACACCTGGTTGAGTGTCTTCCTCTCTTTCACCATCCCTCCACCTTTCCAAGAATTATTGGTAGGAATGTAAAATAGTGCAGCCACCGAAATACTTCAACATTTCCTCAAAAAATTAAACACGTAATTAACATATAAGCCAGCAATCCCAATCTAATGTATATATCCAAAAGACTTAAAGGCAGAAATGCAAGCAGATTCTTGTATACCAGTGTTCACTGCAGCACTATTTAAAGTGACTAAGAGGTGGACACAATTTAAATGCGTTAAATGAGTGGGTAAACAAAATGTGATACATGCATATAATGGAAAGAGAAATGAAAACCTAGCACATGCTCCAACATGGATGCATCAAGAAAAACACCATGCTGAGTGAAGTCATAAAACACAAAAGAACTAGTATTGTGTGATCTTGTTTGTACTGTCAAGTTGGAACCAATTTATAGCTGACTTATAATGGGTTTTTAAAGGAGAAAATTGCCCATATTTCTCCCTTGGAGCGACAGCTGCATTAGAAATGTCTGTGTTTGGCAGCACAATTCCTTACTACCGAGCCACCAGAACTTATATGAAGCTTCATTTTACTAATATGAAATAGGTGAGTATACTGGGACCACTGTTTATTTGTGGTTTTGCAGGTAGAAATTAGGGGGTAAAGACGATTCACTGTTTTAGGGGATACTGAGCTGAGTTTCTGCTAGTGGTTGAGGTATCATTGAGAAACATATGATGATGATGGTTACAGAGATGAATTAATCACATAAATTGTTGTTATGTGCTGTTGAGTCGCTTGCAACTCATAGTGACCCTATGTACAACAACCCCAAACCGTGCTCTATCCTGTGCAAACCTTATTGTCGCTGACACACCTACCCTCATTACCCCAGTCACTGAATCAATCCATCTTATTGAGGTTCTTCCTCTCCTGCACTGTCCCTCCACCCTCCCAAGCATGACATCCCTCTCCAAGGACTGATCCTACCTTGCAACATGTCAAAAGTATGTCAGCTGAAGCTTTAGAATCCTTGCCTCCAAGGAACAGCCTGGCTTAACCTTCTCCAGGATGAACTTGTTTGTTCTCCGAGCAGTCCATGGTATATTCAGTACTCTTCTCCAGCACCACAGCTCAAACACATCAATTATCCTTCTATCATCCCTAGTCATTGTCCAGCTCTCTGATGCATAGCAATTAATTGCAAAGACCACGGCCTATATCAGGTGCACTATAGTCTCCAGACTGGCATTGCTCTATAGTACTTTGGAGAGATCTCTGACAGTAAGTAGACTTTCCCATTGCAATTCGTCTTTTAATTTCCTGGCTGCTGGTACCAAGAATGTTGACTGAAGAGCCAACCAAACTGAAGCTGCTAACAATCTCAAGCTCTTCATCATCTATCATGATGCTACCAATCGGTCCAGTAATGAGAATCTTTGTTTTCTTGATGTTGACCTTCAATCCATATTGAAGGATGCAGTACAATGTCTTAATGGTCCAGTGCTGTTGTAACAGCAATACCACATGTCTTAGTTATCTAACTCTGCTATAACAGAGATACTCACAAGGGAATGGCTTTAACAAACAGAACATTATTCCATTACCGTTTAGGAGGCTAGAAGTTAAAATTTGGGATACCAGCTCTTGAGAAAGTCCCCCTTTTTCTGTTGGTTGGAGGAAAGTCTTTGTTTCCTTCACAATATGTAAACCTAGTATTCTGAGAGCCCTCCATGTGTTCTGATTTTCTCTGGTATCAAAGATCTTCACTGAACAGAAACCCAGGTCCAAAAAAACCCGCTCTACTTCTGGCCATTCTTGGCGACACTAAGGATTCCCAGCCCCTTATTTTCTTCCACTTTTATTTCTGTAAAATATATTATGAGCCACACCCTAGAGAAAATCCCTTTACATTTGATTAGAGCTGTGATGGGATGAGGGAATGTTGCACTCCACCCTAATCCTTTTACAACTTTTTGGTTTATCAAATCTTAAGGGATTATTACATAGTTTCCATGTTACATATATATATATTGGGGGACATAATTCAATCCATGATATTATAACCTTTGATTCCCCAAAATTCAAGTCCTTGTCATAAGCAAATCACTTTTACCTCATTGTGGCAACACAAAAACCCTAAATCAATACCAAGTCCAAATTCTGTCTTGGAGACATTGGAGCATAAGAAAAGAAAACAGACATCAAGCAAGTTAAATATCCAGTAGAACAATTTACATCAGCCTCCAAGACTCCAAATAATCTTCTGTTCTCTGGGACCATCTAGGCAATGTTTCTACCCTCCAGAATCTGCATGTTGACTATTTTCTCTGGGTTAAGGGAGGAGGCTCATTGGCTCTAGTTTAGCTCTGCCTTCCAAGCCTACTTGAGGATCCCCTCTGCCCTCTTGGCTCTGGGAGGCCCCATTCTCCTAGTCCAATCAAGTGGCCATCATATTTCCTTGGTCCCAGGAAACCCCATTCAACTGCCCCCTCCAAGATTCTTTTGCCCCCTCCACTCAGCTTTGGGCAGTAATGGTCCCATCTTAATGGTAGCCCTCTACTCCAGAAGTAAGTTGGCAATGATTTGACTCTTTGAAACATAGGAAACAGTGGCTCCATCTTTACAAACCCCAGAGGCTGTGACCCCCACACCTTGAGACCTTACCCTTTTGAGTCTGAGTCAGTTCTGCTCCTTGGTCTCTCCATGGTTCTACCCATTAAATTGATAGAGCTGTCGGGGCTCTGAACCAGGATTTCAGCACTAGAGAGAAGATAGAGTCACAGGTTGGTATCTTAACTTACAGTTCTCTCTAGAAACAGGACCAGTGAGACAGGGGAAAGGATAATTCTTTCCCTTCCTTCCCTCCCATCTTATTATCTGGTGATTTGCATTTATGAGACTAAAATGTCAACTACTTTGTGCATTAATGGCGTCTACTACTTGTGTCTCCGTGGGAGAAAAATGGGCAATCTCCTACTGGAAAATTTATGGCTTCAGAAACGCAATGGAATGCCAGGCTATGAGTGTGTCAAAACTTAGATGGCAATGAGATTTTTCTGTTGTTTTGGTTTGTGTGTGTGTGTGTGTGTGTGTGTGTGTGTGTGTGTGTGTGTTTTAAAGCGTCTATAATTATGTTGCTGACTATTGTAATTAATTATATGGACCAAGATATGCATTACTGATTGGGGGAGAGGAGGAAGCTAAAGAAAGGTATAAACACGCAGAAGTATTGACAAGGATGGGAAGCGGAAGAAATTAGTGGATAGAGGGTTAGGACGAAGAATTTGATGAGATATTGTAATAAATACCACTGATCTTTTGCAACGAATGTGATAAAACAACATCTATATGAATGGATGAAAGGCAATATACTGCATTGAAACAGATGAGGGAGAGAATTTGAAAACAAAAGAAAGAAAAACAAACAAACAAAAACAAAAAAAAATTCAAAAAAAACAAAAACGAAAGAAAAAACCTCCTATTGCCGGTGCTTTGGCCCCTCCCTCTCTCTGTGTTTTAATCGCTCCGGCAAAACCTAATCCTGTGGCTCCGCCCACACACTAGGAGGCTGGGTCAAAAAGTTTGTTCCCAGCAGCGCGCCATAGTGACAGTGGCAGTTCGCAGGCGCAGTTCGCAGGCGCAGTTCTGGTCTTCCGCAACGTGTTCTTCCTCCCGGCTTCCGGCGTTCTGGTAGTTGAGCAACGCCGGCTAATCAGAGTCCACCTTCCCCCCAGGTCTTCTTTCGTTCCCCCACTCGTCCCGCAGACCCTCCGCAGATCTCTCAGGGCACTGACGGCCTGTAACAGATCCATGGCGGAGCGCGGCGAACTCGATCTCACTGGAGCCAAACAGAACACGGGAGTGTGGTTGGTCAAGGTAATGTTAGAGAGTTTAGGAGACTCCAGAGCGCCTGGCTTCGTGCGGCTTTTAAAGTTCTTTTTATGATCGCGTTATTACAGCTTCATATATCTTGAGAAATAAAATAGTTATTTTGTCTGTTTGTAAATGAGGAAAAAAGTTAGCTTAGGCACTTTGAGGGTTTTTCAACCACTTTGGAATCCACACTAACTTGCAATAATCCCTTTTTCCCTGGTGCCCTATCTTGGGGTCCCCAGTTCGCGTAGCGCGTTTTACACCTGACCGAAGAATTCCTGCGTCTTACTGAAATGAGTTTTAGTCTTGAGGGTATACGGGAGAATCTGCTCTCTGTACAGTGTCTTTGCCAAAAAGTAGACCTGCACTTGGTGGATTTAAATGTTCTCTAAGTTGATGTCTTAAGAGTGGAGCTTTCAGAAGACTTCTGAACTAATGGGAGAAGAGACTTTGAAACACGACTGGGTCTTTTCAAACCTGTCAATGAGTATTTTACGGAAGGACTGTTTTATATATTGTCTGTTCCCTTTGAGGTCTTGAGGTTTTAGACCAGCGCTGTATTTGTGTTGACTTGGAGCACAGTAAATGTAAATAAAAGTTATTTTTCTTAGAGAATTTGGAAGAGTGAGTAAACACATAGTATACATAGAGTGGATTAGAAGTGTCAAACAGGAATTGCATGTTAATTAACATTAATGTGTTTTTGGGGGGGAAGAGACTTTGATGTCTGGAGGAGAGAGTTTGTGTTAGGACCGTTCACACCCAGATTGTCATATTCTGAAATGGAGTGTTCTGCTAAAATGCCTGATTAGGATACAAATGTAGAGTGTATTCTACATTCTAAATGTAATCAACTGATTGATGAGGCCCACTCCCATTTTAATTTATGACATGTAATTTGTTGTTGTTGTTATTATGTGCCGTTGAGTCGTTTGCAACTCATAGCGACCCTATGTACAACTGCCCTAAACCCTGCTCTATCCTGTGCCAGTTGCATTACCTCTGACACACCCATCCCGATTACTCCAGTCACTGAATCAATCCACCTCATAGAGGATCTTCCCCTCCTGCACTGTTCCTCTACTCTACCCAGCATGATGTCATTTTAGCAACAAATAAGCTAGTGTTTTACCAAACATCTCGGCACCATGTATGTGTGATGACCCTCCTAACCATCACCCTGACTAAACCACTATCATTCAGATATATGCACCAACAACCAGAGCCAAAGAAGAAGAAATAGATGATTTCTACCAACTTTTACAGTCGGAGATAGATCGAACATAC